TCTCTTCTTTCTACGACACATCATGATCAGCCACACCTTTTTCTAAAGCAATGAAGCGATGCTAAAAGCGGCTATACAAATATTATGACTAGCACTTCATATGAGATACTAAGAACACGAGGTATATGCATATGCGACTAACGAGGTACAAATACATGAGATACACTTGAGATAACATAGTACCAGCCGATAACTCCGCAGTACTCTACCACAGACTAAATCGCCAAGTCCATTCGGCGGCGTAGGCTGGTGTGCCCTGTGTCGAGGCGGGGAAGCTGCTTCACCCTGCAGCTGAATCTCCCCGCTGCAAGGCTAAGGCTCCACACTACATACCAGGACATGATCTGTGAACCGAAAATATAAAAAGCCAACCTTCGATCCGAGACGTTGTTTGCAAGCAAGCTCCACAAGTTTTGCACCAGTTATACGATTTGACCCTTTGTCGTTGGATTTTTGCTGGAATAATTTGCATATGAGGCTCGGTAAATTATCAGCTTTCAAACCCAGATTTTGTGCATACACCGTTTCACAATGACATCGACAGATCATGTATATTATATTTCAAAACTGGATAAAAAAAGAATGTTGGCTATAACATGGAAAAGTTCCCAACAACCCACAACTCTCACCTCTCGTATAATCTTGAGCATCCCTCTAATCGCTGCTGTAATGTCCATTTCTATAGCTTCCGAGGCATTTGCGCAAACGTCACATGCTTTTGGACATAGCTCTCTCTTCCACTTTTCTTCGAAATGATCAGCAAGGTGCTTTCGTCGGCATTCACCAGGCTGGAAAATGACGGCTCTCGTACTGCACCTCCGAAGTAGAAAACTTACAGTAGTTGCATAGCGAACAATCGAGTAAAGGTTCCTTAACCCCGTGCGCTCGGTGCAAACCATAGTGCTTTGCCGAAAGACATCAGCAAGCCGGAAAAATAGAATACATATGGCGGGTTTGCCATCTCTGCCAGCACGTCCACTTTCCTAAACGACTGTCCCAGCTATAATGGATTTTCACCCAAAAAATCAATAGGGATCATAAAAGCCTTTGTCAAGTGAGTGTACTACAATCTATCTCGATTTATCAATGTTTGCTTGAGTTAATCAATCGGATTCTACCAAAAAAAA